GCCCTATAGTGAAAACCTCTAAAAAAAAAAAAAAAAAAACCTCTCCAAAAAAAATGTGTACAACTCTCATAGTAAAGCGTCATATTTTGGAGAGGTTCTGTTTCTTAATTGTGCTTTGGACTTGGTTTAGCTTTGAGTATGTTTTACAGCGAAACACATGTTTCCAGCATGTGTGAGTGAGTATTTAAGGAGCTAGACTCATAGCCTCATGATTAAGGGAGATGGATCCCATATAACCAACAGTGGTTCAAATCCCAGTTTCCGTGGCATGAGAAACATACTGGGCACATGTACATATGTGCCCCAAATCCCAACAGGATGGAGAAATGAAGAAGAGGCTGTGGCACGAATATTCCCTATTGGAGGGTGCTTTCTCCCTCTGTCTCTCTCTGGTGAATGCAAACACTTTCTGGCAGTTTAAAAAATATTTCAAATGAAGGTTAAATATAGGAGAGTATTTCAAAAAGTTTGTGGAAAAACGAAATTCAAGTATGAATTTATTTGGGTGCAGAAGTTTTTTTTAAATCCTTGCACAGTTTTTTCATTGTATGTGTTATCTATGAACTTATCAAAGTCTTCTTTTATATAGATAACTTTCCAATATAACGAAACCACTTTTAGTAGATAATTGAAGTTTATTTTCATGTCTTGAGAAGAAGGATTTAAAATTTTACAGAAGAATCAATGGGCCTCTGAGCATGTTATTATTGTACTGACTTTCAGGATATTATCAGCTTTCTTTAAGTTTCTGTCGAAAAAAATTAAGCACCTACTTTGTTTTGCTAAGAGAGTCATAAAATACCATCAATAACTGGATTTGTGGAGCTTTTTGTATATATATATATTTAGGTCATTAGAATGTTTTTATTGTGAAGTTTTTTTTTTCCTCTCCAAGTATATTGATGTCTTTCATGAGACAGACAAGCAGGAGCTTAGACAAGGTCTTGCCACTCCACTGTCTTTTTTTTTTGAGATAGATTTTTGCCATAGGGCACGTGCACTCACCAGAGATAGACAGAAAGCGAGAAATCATCCCCTCGCCCCCCCAGGGGGAATGGCCATGCCACAATCCCCTCTCCTCCTCTCTCTCAGGATCTTGGCACACAGGCACATGCACCCAGTGTGAGTTGTAAGCCACTAGGTCCAAGACTCAAACCACGGTTGATTATGTGGGAGTCCAGTGACATAACCATTATACCATTGGTCCCGCCACTTCACTGTCCTCCTCCTAAGCATCTGGCCAGGCAGGTTTGTAGGTGTGCTCCCAGCTTATAGAGGTTGGCCAGGAGTTCTAACCTCCTTCCCATGTGGCTGTAGTATTGCACAGTGGTGCTCTGCCACCGCTACCACTGCAGCTGGGCATGTTGCTGATTCTTTAATCAGTATTTTGAGAGTCAAATAACATTAAAAGAGATAGGGCACTTTTATACTTACCAAAAGGGGTATTGGAGGGTTTTTTGGTAAAAGAATCTACAAGCATGTGATATAAAAAAACAGCACCTGTGACTCAATTGACCTGAGTAGTGGCCTCTGCTCTGCTGCTGACTTGGGGACTTTTGCTGCCCCCTCCCCCATTCATTCTAAAGCACGTGGATGTTAGAGAGAGAGAAAAAGAGAAGCTTCCTTCACAGGGATCAGTCACTTCATGAGCTCTTTCCTCCAGTGCTCCAGTCCACCAAGATTTTAGGAATGTATCCATGTTTTCAGGCTGACAGGGCCAGGGACTTTAACTGCAGCTGACATGTGGTTCTAGCTCCACAGTCTAGCATACTACCAGCAGTGCCATAGACTTTAAAAAAAAATGGGGCCTTTTCTTGCTTTTAAACTTCACTTTCCTTAACTGGAATATAAGAATTATTTGCCACGGTTCCTTCATGGGATTGTGGTTGTTATAGCTAAATGAGACATGGAATGCATAAGTACATTGTAGAATATAATTGGTATAAAGTTTTTTTAAATTATCTTATTTATTATTATTATTATTTTTAAGTTTGCCATAGGGCAGCTGTGCTCACCAGAAAGAGATAGAGGAAGCGAGAAAGGAAAAGTGAAAAAGCAAGCCATCAGGTCCGGGACTCGAACTGTGATCAGCCATGTGGGCGTCCAGAGCCCTAACCACAGCTATAAAGTTTTTTGGTTTTTTTTTTTAATGAGATGATGCATAATATGAGATAAATATTTCTGTGAAAATTTAGCTTATATTTAAACTCTTTTCACCTGCTTCCTCTTTTCTGCATCAGTAAAAAGTGAGAAAACTTCTGCTTTTTTCCCCCTGCTTGAGGACACAAGTCCCATGTTAATATCTGTAATCCACTAAAATGGCAGGACCCCTTGACTGTCACTTCCTCCGAATATTCCTTCAGAATAATTTTTATTGTTAACTTATCTGGTAGGTAGGCAGGCGAGTCTCCAGCCTTGGGAAATCAAAGGTGAGCTGAGTTGTGCTGACCTAGCTGAGATCTGTGAGGGGATAAAGAGAAGCAGGCTGGTTTAGCCATTAGCACTGGTCAGTAGTCATGTGTGATCTCCCCTTTCTAAACAAGTCCATCCGGTCGCCTTATCTTTCCCCACACCTTCTGCCAATTCTCCTGATGGGAAATCCCAATACTTTTGGCTTTCTCCTCGTCTTCCATATTTTGTCCTAGCCAAGACTTCCTGGTTCAGCTTTTGAGCTTTTTAAATTTTTATTCATTATGTTTATTTTTTTTCATGAATGAGAAAGGCAGAGAATGAGAGAGAGTGAGCATTCTCAATAAAATCCTGACCCCACAGTCCTTCCCAACCCTCCAGCTTCATCCATCCTTGGATTGTGAGCAAGAACATGCATGGTACTCAGAGAGGACTTCAGACCTATCCAGGCACATTTCCCTGTGGGATTGCCTCAGAGAGTGTCACAGTGCACCATTTGGCCCCCTGCTGGACCTTTGGAAGCCCCTTTACCCTTGAGTTCTCATCAATGCTATCTAGCTTAGGTCTTCAGTCCTGGTTGCCTGGGTTGTCATCAGAGGCCCTATCTGCGCAGAATGAAGCCCTAACACCCTGGCCTGAATATTCTCACTCTGTCATGTATGTTTGTTTACTTGTCTTGTCATGCAGCCACACAGCCAGCCACACAGCCTATCTACTAAATTTCTTGGTAACACTGTTCCATTCCCCCAAGAATAACATGGCAATTAAGAAAACTTAGTGCCTGGGTTCTAGTCCTCTCACTACCATTTCCTTGCCATATAAATTTCCATGTTACACTGGAAATTTAATGAAACCTTTCTGTTCCATGAGATTTCTCATGAGATAAAAAGAGAATAGGATACATTATCTGCCCTATAGAGTTATTGTGAGGAGTAAAGGAAATAATATATAAATAGGACTTAGAACTATCCCTACATGTTATGTGTTATATAAATACTAGCTACAGTCTTTATTATTATTATTATTATTACTATTATCTGTGTCAAAATTATGTGTTTACAGTGCTCAACTGTGTTTTCCCAAATCTTCCAACCACAGGTAATCTTACACATCCATTAATGTCTCTGTCTCCTTAAAAAATTGTTTTAGGGCTTGTTTAAGTATTTATTAAATATTTACTATGTGTAAGACTTAAGATTACTCACTATGAGAAATACAAAACTTAAGAAAATTAGAGTCTGGTAGGAAAAAATCAAAGTATAAAATATTCATCCATCTAGCAAATAATTATTGAGCAATTGCAAAAGATCCAGGCACTGTATGTAGTTACATGGGTGCTGAGCCTGGTGTCATACTTAGCAGTTAACTTTGGTCAAAGAACAGTATTTGAGTACCTTAAGCAAGCACAGTCAAATTGCTTTGGAAATGTAGAAAAAATATTGTACCAGCCAAGAGGGTCAGGAAAGGCTTTTTAGAGATCTTGCTATTTATTTATTTATTTATTTTTGTCCATTGAGGCATTTTATTTGTATGTGTGTATTACATCCCTAGAAAAAGAATCCCAAGATTTTCCCTCCTGTGTGTGTTTCTGTCTTGCTTCTTCCTGGTCCATGATACCAGCTAAAGTTGTCAGTACAGTGAGATCAAACTAAGAGTATCTAAGTTCAGATTATACTGCCATTTCTGTAGATCTTTAGGTTGCAAATGAATCTAGCGCTGTTCATTCACACTTGTTTAACCTGCCTGTGAAGTTCATAACAATTTTTCTGTCTCTGTGGTCATTGATGATTTCAGATTTGCCAGTGCAACCATACGTCATCATCACAGTTAGAAACTGAACAGCGACTTTGGAGCATGACCCAATAAGAACCTGGCATTTGCCTTTCTTCAGTGTTGGTGATGCTCTTGAGAGCAGTAGTTGGGAAGTACATGCACACCATTATGCCAGCATGGAAAGATGGCAGAAAGAGCAGATGTTCACATCTTAACAGGCTTGTAGAATGGGTGGACTTTGCCCATCTTGACTTCTCTGAGGAAGCATTGATGTGCTGCCTTCTGCTATTGTTGTACATGGACTATAGAATTTTCATAATTGCGAGCTCCTCAAGCACAGGCACAGTATTCTCTTCATTTTTGAGTTCCTGATGCTCACTCTGGATCTTTATCCATAAGCCATATTCTCCACAGACGATGACAGCAGTTAAGATGCATTCTTCAGATGATGATGACAGATTAAGATGTCTCTTCTGTTATAACTTAAGGAGAGATTGTAATTTGATGATTCTTAATATCTATGAAGCAATTAAGCTTCCTCAGAGAATGTGTATAAACTGAAATTGAGTTTATTTTAGACATGCTCATGTTATTTATCATATTAATTATAGCCATAGTAGTCATGATAGGAATGTAATAATGTGAATTCTGCACCATGTAGATATTTCTTCTCATATTTCTGGGAAGACACTTATTCTCCATTAAAATCTAATCTGGTCCTAGAATTCCAAGGTATGTGATTTCATGACTTTTATTACATAAGACATCTTAGTTTTAAAAATTGCCCAACAGTTTTAATTCTGAATTTCTCCTTATAGCAAGGAGCAAGGACCAACCCCAGTGGAGAAAAAGAAGAAAGGAAAAAGGAAAAGTGAATCGACGGTGGAGAGTTTAGAGCTGGATCAGGGCCTGCCGAACTCATCCCTGCGGAGTCCTGAGGAGTCCACTGAGTCTGCAGACAGCCAGGTACCGCTGTGACCGGGAACCCTGGTGGAGGTTACGGCTGCTGGATTGGGTCTTCCCAGTATTGATCCTGTTGCCCCTCTATGCCTGTCTCTAGTGTACTGTCCTTCTGCACAGACCTGACTGGGCTTTTACTGTTTGTGGGTGAGCAGGTAGACCCAGACTTTTCCCCTAGCTTAATACATATACTAATAATATCCTAGTTTTGCTTCCTTCTTAGAAAGTAGCACGGTGTTAGGCTATAGAGAAAGTTGATATGGAAAATGAAGTTGTGAGCCAAGCTAGGTGAGATCCAGGGGGGCCTGTTTTGCCATGGAGATAATGCATTTAGTGCTCAAAGTGCTAGACCAGTCTCTACAGGTACATAATCCCAGCTGCTGGAAAAGTCAGAGGTGTATTTATTATGCCAAAACAGTAAGGAAGGATTAGCTAAACATGGAAACAAGGAGGTGCCCATCTAAATCAGGTTCCTAAACATATTCTAAAGCGCACCTGACATTGGTAGGGATTTTCTAAGTTGAGACAATGTTTTTTGGACATGAATTCTAATATTTAAATGAATATTAGAAAACAAGAATGTTTCCTCTGACATCAACAACAACTTGTCTTAGTCTTGCTACTACTGCAAGGAGACCATTTAGAATAAGAGTGACTTAACTGTTACCTCAAGGATCATCTGGCCCCTCAGAGGTTTTTTAGTGGTTCGCCGTAGGAAGATATAAACTTGTAAAGTCATGATATTAATAAGTAGTAATGTCTAGTGTTAGAGCAGCAACCCTTCCCTGCCTATAAACTGGGGCTGGTGGCCGTTAAATATCCAGATTGGCAGAGGGGCAGGTATATGAAGCTGATGGGATTTGGCAGGGAGCTAAGAATGGCGATCTGTATATAGGTCTCGGGAGAGATAGAATCCCTCACATAAAGAAGAAATGGGAAAACGGACACCTGGATCATGTCTTTTAGAGTAGGGAGGTGGGGTCTTTTGTTTTCATTTTGCACCTCCTCTTCTTTTTTCTTTTCTTTTTTTTTTTTTTTTTTTTTTTTTGAGAGATAGAGCTCACCAGACAGACAGAGAGAGTGAGAGGTCACCCCCAGGGGGATGGCCATGCAGCAATCCTCTCTCCTTCAGTCTCCTCTTGGGATTTTGGACATGCACACACATGCACCTGCATGAGTTTCAAGCTGCCGAGTCTGGGACTCAAACCACAGTTGAACACATGGGAATCCAGTGTCACAACCACTATACCATCTGCTGGTCCTTCTCCCCTCCCCCCCCTTTTTAAGGCTTCACTATTGGATAATGAGCTAGCTGGCAGGTGGTTTCCTGAAGTGATTCTACTGCTAGGATATGAGGAATGTGTAGAAATCAACTTTGTGCTTTTTTCTGTTTGAGGAAAGCACTGCACTGCTTATTTATTGTGTATTAATAGTCTTTCTAAAAGGTACAAACTACTTAATTAGAAATGAGGTTGTTTTTTTTAAAGAACTATTTATTTTACTTATTCTTTTTCTTTTTTTTTTTAATTTGATCAGATTGAGAGACAGAGAGGGAAAGTGAGAAAGCAAGCCACCAGGTCTGGGACTTGAACTGTGGGTCAGCCACGTGGGAGTGTCCAGCACCTAAACCACCATGCCACCTGCTGTTCCCAAGAGATGAGTTTTTTTTTTTTTTTTTTTTTGAGAGGTTTTTGCTATAGGGCATGTGCACCTGCCAGAA